GAGGAGGGTGAGAGGAGGATGGAGGAGGAGGAGGAGGAGGAGGAGCGCGGGCTTCCTAGGCTCACACCGAGGCGGGCGAGTGCGCTTCCACGCGGGCGAGCAGGGGTACCCCACGGGCGGTCTGGGCCAGGGGGCCCTTGCTGGGCGGGCTGGGCTGGCGGATCCTCTTTGAGTGGCGGGCCCCCCCTTGACGAGCGAGCTGGGCGAGTGGATGGGTTTTTGGAGCAAGCGAGAATGTGAGACCCCGCTGGCCCTCCCCCCCTCATCGAGAACAGCAGAACCCCTAACACTAATAACATAGCGGAGACGTAGCATCACTTAGGTCCACGCTCTTGCATCGGAAAATGAATATGGGCGGTTTGGGGCGATGCATCTGCAGGAAGGAAATACCCCCTATCCCTGATGTGTTTGGCCCTCCTTACTTAGATCCCCTTCCAAAGGTTAGGTAATCCTCCCCTGGCCGCTAGGTGCCGCGCGCGCGTGCGGAGTTCCGTGGCCCGGCCAGGAGCTCCAGCACCGCCACGAGCGGGCGCCACCTCCCCGTGCCGCCTGCTTGACCCCACCGTCGCCGCCGCCGCCCGCCCGTCGTTGTCGTGCTCGACGTCGTCGGCGGCGGTTTCGGGAGGTTCTCGGAGCTTCACGGAGTATAACGGAGGCGCCGCTGCCGTTGTCCTTGTCGACGTCGTCGGCGGTGTTTCTCGAAGGTTTTCGAAGGTGTCGAGGGGTGCTGGGAGGCTTTTGAAAGTTCTCGGAGCTGCTCGGAATATCTCGGTGGCTCCCAGAAAGTCTCCGAGGTCGCCGTCGTCAGCGGCCGTCGAGGATGACCGTCACGCATCGATCGGAGAGGATTCACTGTCAAGGTGCCTGGAGTCTGTCCGTTTGTTTGGACCTAGCCGGGCGCCCTCGTGGGCACCGTTGGATCCGCCTCGAAGCTCTGGTCAGAACGTGCCTCAGGACAGGCCTTGGGGTCGACGCCCCTGCATCCGCCGTCGTCATCGTAGGCGTCATCGACATGGTCTTCGTTGTCGTCGTCTCCAATGCAGGCGCAGGGTAGATTTTGGAAACCACCCTTGCTTCTCCTTTCTCCATCCTCCCTCCCTGCAAGTTCCTCCCTCCTTTCATCATCCTAATACTCTTCCTGCGTCCCCCCCCCTCATGTTTCTGACTCCTCCTACTGTATTCTGGTAGTCGGCTTTGCCAGCGTGGCTTCCACTCAGCGGCATGTTGTACTCTCGGTGTGTACTACTACGTTGTGCAAGCTGAAGAGCTTGAAGTGGTCAATTCCAATGCTCGGGCAAACATCTCACTCACCCGCCCACCCACAATTGCAATACTGAATAGACAATGAGAGCAGCTACCTACCAGAGCTTGTTAGCACAACAGGCGCAATGCCGCGCTGACTCTTCTCCTGCAGCTCCATTACTCGGTTAGTGATGATGCTGCCGGGAGGATCTGAAAACATGGGCACTGAAATCGGTACGTCTTCTATCGAAGACGCCTGCGGCGAGACACCGCTGCCCCCTGTCTCTTGCGGCCAACCATTGGATCGCATGGGTGCTTACAAGAGCTATTGGACTGTGTCTTTCCCCAGCCGATGTGGAACCGGTTGGGGGAGCAGTTGGGAGAGGAAGAGATAGGAGGAGGAGGAGGAGGAGGAGGAGGAGGAGGAAGAGAAGGAGAATATGGAGCGGAAGGAGGACGATGAGAAGTTTGAGGAGGAGAAGGAATACTAACCTACAGTTATACAAGCCGCCACGCTTGATTTAAGTACCAACTATCCACGCAACTACCTATCTACGTTATTATCCTTGCTACTGGTATCGCATGCCGATGTTCGTTTCCTGCGGGGCCGCTACGGGGCTACCCCAGGTACAACCACGGACCATTGGACTGCAGAGGGCAATTTGTGGACAACCACCGGTGGACGTTCTCGAATTAGTCCGATCTCGGAGTGAACGCGTAAGATGCAAGTGATAGAATTTGAGTTATTGTTGCCAATATGTCTCGAGTTACTCATTCAGGAGCAGACAATACATAAGGACTCAGATCAAGTAGACGAATCTAGAACACATCACGAATGGATAACCACACCCACACCAACACAACGGAGATGTTGAGACAGAGGATAAACGGCAATCATATAGATAAGAACACACTTAAAGTGCACAAGCATGACAGTAGTGACCACACGTAAGAGCAACATTCAAACTAAAACGACGCAGTCGATAAGCTAATAAAGAAACCAAGCCAGCGGAGAGCACACAATCTTTTAATTTCATTGTGAACCAGCAGAACACACAGTAGAGGGTAGATGACATTGGTTTGGTAGTGTGGACCTCAAGCAGCGATTTTTTTGCAATCTACGGGGCGCAATCTAGGTAGTGCAATTAGCTTTTGCCAACTTATAGGATGGCAACTCAACTGATCCCGCAATCATCCCACCCTCCCACCTGGAATATTTCTGCAAAGCCCATGCGGTGGCGATTTCGATGGTGGTTTGGTCTTGGCTGGCGCATCTCTGCGGCCACGCTGTTGCGCGCGAGTTCGCGCGCAGACCGCCCTGGTTTGGCACACACGGTCCGGCCGCGATGGCGTTTACCGATGGCATTTCCCCAGCGCGTCTCAAAAGCCGCGCTGGCACGCGACCACTTCAATGCGGGTCAGTGACTCGGGCAGGCGCGTTGTCATCATGACGACGACAACGGCGGCAACGATGATGATAGTCGCGATGGTAGTGGCGATGATGCTGATGGCGACGGCAAAGACAACGACGGCGCCGGTGCGGGTCACGTCGACGACAATTTTGATGTTCGTGTGTCGATGATTCAGGTGCTCGAGTGATGGTGGCGGCGGTGGCGCTGATGGGGGTGATGGTGAGGAATTCCGCGCACGCAGAAAAAAATAACATCGCCAATTTTGACTTGAAAAGCATGTGTTATTTTCATGCGTGTTTGAAAAAGCTGTTGATGCAAGCTTCGGGCAACAATGGTTTGCATTGATTTCGGCACGCTTTGCGTGGCGGCGCGCGCGTGTGGCCCGCATGGCGTTATTTGCTTTGGGTTCGCGCAGTGGACGCATGTCAGATCAACGCGGCGCACCGCGTGGTGTAAGATGAGAATGCAGCTTCCTTGTACACGTGTTGAAGCCAATGTTTCATCTGATTTCAGCAAATGCTCAGCTCGCAGCCTTCCAAGGAGCAGCGAGGTCTCAAATGGGTTTGCGTGGCCCCGACTCCGCTGGACCTCCTAGGAACCCGCGGAAGCGGCGACATTTTATCCACGTCGCAGCCACCCAGGGAGCAGCGAGGTCCCTACTGGGCTTGCGTGGCCCCCGACTCCGCTGGACCTCCCTCCTAGGAGCCCACGAAATTGGCGACATTTGCTCCGTTCGCAGCCTTCTAGGGAGCAGCGAGATCCCCAATGGGTTTGCGTAGCTCCCGATTCCGCTGGGCTTCCTGGAGCCCACGAAAATGGTGAGGATCAGCGTGGCCTCGACTCCACCAGACCTCCTAGGAGCCCACCAAAGTGGCGACGGTTGAGCGGTTGGCAGCCACTCCAGGACCAGCGAGATCCCAAATTTGTTTGCGCGGCCCCGACTTCGCTGGACCTCCCAGGAGCCCATGAAAGTGGCGACAGTTACGCAGTTCGCAGCCCCTCCAGGGAGCAGCGTAGGAGGAGACAGGAGGAGGCAGGAGGGAACGTCGTCGCGGCCGGCTATTTGGTCAGATGGGGTGTCGTGCGGAGATTGTGTTCGCCGTTCGAGAAGAAGGGGAAGGAGTGGATACCACAATGCTCTATTCAACACGAGAACCCAACACAGGAGGGTTGGGAATAGACATTCCAAGTAACATGGGGCCCTCTTGGGAGTGCTATTTTAGCTCTCTTGGGGCCTATTCGCAGCCTTACAGGCCATGTGGAAGCCACCTTGAGCGTCTTGGACCGATCGTGCAGCGATTCGGGGCCTCTTGGGGCTCTTCTTGGCCCGTCTTGGAGCCCCCCTGGGCCCGACAAAGTCACGCGACAACATGCCCCCGCACGCAGGAAGCCCCAGGAGGCACGCTGGGAGCCCAAGGAGATTTGGCAATTTGGGGTCCAGGCCTTCAATAAGAATCCCCAGGATTGAGAACACAGGTTGTAGGGATTAGGCCAAGGACTTGAGGATATTCAAACTCGTGCCTCAAAGGCACGGTAGCGGATTGTTTGGGCCGTGGGTCTCGTCTGCAGGAACAGGAGAATTGCCAGTTCTGCGGTGAGAACTCCCGATACTGGCAGGAATGCGCTGGTCGTGACCCTCTTTCTGATGGCGCGGCCGCTTCTGCCACGTCTCGCCCTCTGGCAGCCGTGGGACCGTTCTCGTTTCACTGCACGCCCTCGTTCTTCCATACTTGGCGGCCCGCTAGGCCCGATTGAAAACGAGATCCCCACCTAAGCTGGCCTCAGAGACGCCCAAGAGGGCCCCAAGACGGTCCAAAAGCGTTTCAGGAGTCCCCGAGATGCTTCAAGACGGCCCAAAGAGGCCCCCCACACCGCCCAAGAGCGTCCCAATACGATTCCCTAAGAGGGTCTCTGGAGGCAAGTTCATTGATCTTCCAACGTGTGCATCTTAGTGCTTATTTTTCAAGGGATGGTGGTCGTCCCGTCCCTCCTCTGGTAACCGACATCGCGGCGAGAGCATGGTGCATGAAGAATGTGTGAGGAAGTTTGATGCGAAATAATTGCCGGCTAAAACGACCCAATGTCGGACAAGACGTTTTTAGATGGACCACGATCCCAGAAAAGTCCAGGAGAGGCAAGTCGTACGCAAGATGATCCTACGGCGTGCAAGGAAGCTCCGAGTAAATTCCAAGATGGTTCCAAGAGGATACTCAGGAGCGTCGGAAGAGGTACACACATACCATTGAACATCAGTTGTTTTGTTTGAGCGCCCAAGTTGGACCAAAAGAGCCCCAATCTAGTCCTAAGGCGGCGCAAAAGAGCACCAAGAGGGCCCTACAATCCTTCAGGCTCAAGAGATTTCGGCCCATCAGTGGGGACTTGTTCCTATATATACAAACACGCACACAAGGTACACGTTCCACTTGGTGAATCTGAATTTCGCCGGGTCAATATGCCTGGTATGATGGTTCCTGTCCACGCTCTGGTCGTTGTTGTGCTGCTTCGAGCGACTGCCGCCATCAAGATCGTGGAGGACGGGGGCACGGATGGGCCCGAGGCGGTCAAGGCTGCAGCGCCGCCAGCGCCAGCGCCGGTCACCGAGGACCGCCATGACAAGGGGCGACCACAAACTACTCCTCCGCCCACAGCGCCCCCGACGCCAGAGCCGACGTCAGAGCCGACACCCGAGCCGACATATTATTATGAAGGCCCGGGCATCCCTTGCTCGTGTCACGTGCCGGCCTGCTTCCATACTTACGACCTGAATTCCGATGGCTGCCTAACCCAGGACGAGTGTGACCTGCATATGCCCATCCTTGAGTACTGTTTCAAGGTGCCCTCTGGTTGCGGGCCAGAGAAGTGGGACATCAATGATGACTCTTGCATCGATTCGGCTGCGTTGCCGCGCGGATTCCGCCAGAGTGATTGCGGAGGGTGGATGGGCTGGAAGTGGGGGGTAGTGTAGCACATGTCTCTGCACGCCCAACCCTTAGCATGTACCATTGGTACCAAAGTTGCTTGGTAGGCACTTGAAATAATCCGCAGGGCGAACAACTCTTAGCTTTCGGTGCGCCAGCGGAGCCCGACTAATGCTGCCGCAAGCCAAAAGCAAGCTTAACGACAAGGCGAGGACCCAGCACGCGCCTTTGGCGGCGCGGCCAAGCGCGCAATCACGCGGCCGAAGAAAAAACGAAGGCTACCAGCCGCAGAAAGAAGTTCGGTAGAGGCCCAGATCAGAGACAGCAGGGTGTGCCGGGTCCTACCATATAGGGGGCCGCGTAGCATGACTCGCGGGGAGGCAGTGGCGAGAGGGGCCGACCGACGGGATGAGAAGAACCGCCGGGGGGGGGGGTGATGCACAGCAGGGGAGGCGGAGGACAGTTGTAGTCGTGCTGGGCGCACAGGCCTGGCACACACACACACACATTCACACACACGCACACTCGCACAAACCGCTTCGAGCGCGGTGGCGGACCTGTCCGAATTCCAGCGGGTTTACGACGTCAATCAATCAGTCTGCCCGCAGGAGGTTCCGGAGCCGTGCGACGAGTGCCCACAGGGCTATTACATCGTGCCGAACCCTTGTGAGTGCGTTGAGTGCATTGGCGAAGCGCGCAGGTGATTTGGGGAAGGGGACCCCTGACATTAACACTCAGATTTGGAGGCGAGTTATGGCGCCCAAGACCCTAGTTAACAGTTGCAATTCATGGATGCAGCTGGGGGCTGGAGGGCCAGGCGCCATACCCTCGCGTCTGGTCATGCTCTTCTGGGCTGTGCTTGCATTTTGCCGTCCCTGCCCCTCTGTCAGTTTCGGTTTGGTCAGGGTTTCCCTTGTCCACAGGCGCCGCTCCACAGAATGCACTCCCTGCCCAGCTCCCTTCGTGCCCTGCCAGAACCCCGAAGAAGACGATTGCTGTGATCCATATATGCCAAGGACAGACCCGCCACCAAATGGCACTATTCCTGTACAGGTCCCATATCAAACGTGCACTGAGTTCTCTTTGGGCGATAGCATCACGATCACTGGAAGACTATCGAGTGACCCGTCTACTATTGTCACTCACACATCAGTCGTCATTGGGGTTATCCAGATTACTGGGGGGTACGAACTCGATCTGCACGACCCGCTCCCAGGAGACTTTGAATTTGAATCGACAGTTCAGCAGGCCTGCACTTCCACTGATGGGACTCAGGTGAGCAGCTCATTCTCTCCCTTTGTCGGCGGTTGTTGCTGCGCTTGTGGCACTGATTGCTGCGAGACCACTGAGGTGTGCACTGTGTACCCCAACGGCACGGGTGTTTGCTCCCCCGCTGGCCCGTACCCCGAATTCTCGACTCCAGCCCCGACCGTGGGCGCCAAGGGCGACCCGCATTTGGTCAACCTGCAGGGAGAGCACTTCGACATAAATCACGATGGCAAGTTCACACTGCTTCGCTTTCCCCAGGCTGTCGAGAAGCCGGCCGAGTTCACTTTCGTGGCGAACGTCCAGCCAGACGTCGGTAAGCCGTGCACTACATACATCACGGAGGTGGGGCTGAGCAACACAGCAGATTTAGTTTCTAGATGTTTCGCGTAACCCTTCTTGCCCATCCAGAAACGATGCCTAGACGAGTTGCCGTGATCAGGTATGCGGAGGAGAATGCAGTGTAATAAAGGGCTGGGTAAGACGTCATACCCCAAGAGGGGTAGGATGAAGGAGGAATCGAAGGAGGAACAGCAGGAGAGGAGGAGTAGGGAGAGGGGAACGTGGAGGAGGGAGGATACAGGAGGAATAACATCTGGATTATGATGATGCTGATGATGATGATGATGATGATGATGCTGATGCTGATGCTGATGATGATGATGATGCGGATGATGTTGCTGGTGTTGATGCTGGTGCTGATGCTGGTAATGATGATGCTGATTATCTTAATGATGCTGATCTTGATCATGATGATGAAGATGATGATGGTGATGACGATGATGCTGATGCTGATGATGATGGTGATGATGATGGTGATGACGACGATGATGATGATGATGATGATGATGATGATGATGATGATGATGATGATGATGATGATGCCGCCCCGATCACTTGATTTCGGCGTCGCACCGCCCCCACCGCCTCGCCCCTCCCGCCCCTCCACCCACCCACCCACACCAACCACCACCACCACCAGTGCAACCCCCTCCGAGCAGACCACTTTATTTGGGCGTCGCACCACACCCCGCTCAGTGCCATTTCTACCCCGCCGCCATCCGCCCCGACCACTATTTCGGCGTCGCACGGCCCCCACCGTCCTGCCGCCACGACCCTTGCCCCCTCCCCGCCCGCCCAGAGCACCCCGCCCCCCTCTGGCCCAGAGCACCCCGCCCCCGCCGTCCCGCCCCCCCGACCCTTCTCCGATTTCCCTTTCCCTCTCTTCCCCCCCCTCTTCTTTCTCCTCCACCTCCTCCCCCTCCTCCTCCTCCTTTTCCTCCTCCTCCTCCTTCCCCCTCTCTTTTGTGCAAGAGCCATTGCACGCGTGCCACTTGTTTATGCCTCCCGAACCACAACCGTGGCTGGGACTTGTCTTGGTCACTGTTCTGCTTTGCGTTGTTTGCCATTTGTATCATGATGCCCACATGAATGCAGCCCGAACCCCAATTGTGACCAGGTCTGATCCTTGTCACGGTTTTGGTCTCGGTCGATCTGCCTTAATCAATTAATAATAATATTGAGGCAATCCGAACCACAATTAAGACCAGGATTGGCTTTGGTCACGGTTAATACAATTCGCAGGATACGAATTCAACCCAAACCACAATTTTCACCAGGCCTGGTCTTGGTCACGGTTCGGGTTGGGTCACATTATGCTGTATATGTGTCGAAAGGTGTTGCTTATGTGGACCAACACCAAGACTGGTCACTGTCACAGTTGTTGCCGGTCATTGGTACTAACTAACATGAGCCAACCTAGACCTACACCTTTACCAGTTATAGTCATAGTCGCAGTCCGACATTTATAAAATGGAACGGATGACGCACCATATTGCACTCACGCAGACTTGTCCTGGTCACAGTCGTAGTTCGATACTTGTATCGTAATTCGAAAACTGTCTACCTCAACCAACACCAGAACTACAATCCAGGAAACAAACACATCGCTCAAAACATCAACGCAATCTGGGCGCGAACGGCAGAGTGATATATTCCCTGGCGGCTCCCTTTTGGAAATGCTGAAACTAGCGCGTCGCCCGAGACATCCTCAGAACCTGCTTTGAACAAACGAGTCCGACCACCCAAACAACCGATTTGCTTGAGACATCCTCGCAATTGGGGCCCCCCTTGGGGTGCGACAGCAACCGCCTCGCCCGAGACATCCTCCAAATCTGCTCGGACAACAGAGGATATTGGATCAGGAAACAGGCGCTGACGGAGACATCCTCGCAATTGGGGCGCGAAGGGAACAGTGAGATACCCCCTGGCGGTTCCCCCTTGGGAGTGCTGAATCCAGCGTCTCGCCCGAAACATCTTCAGACTTTGCTTTGGAAGCAGATGAGGACCCCTCCTGAGGTTTTGGTCTGACCACCATTATTCCGACGGTGGGACCCCACTTGAGAATCTATTTCATTTACCTTTAGCCATTTCCTTTTCGCCCTGGCGGACACCCTCTTCTCGCCCTCTGCTTTGCTCTCTCCTCCTCTTGCTCCCTCTGGTTATCCTCCTTTTCCTCCTCCACCTCCTCAACATCGCCGTCCCCCCACCCCTTCCCCCCTGCTTATCCTCCTCCTGCCATGTGCACCTCCCTTTTTCCCGGGGCAAGCAAGTCGATAATCCTCGGCGCCGCCGCCGCCTCGGCCAGCACGCGCGCGTTCGCCGACGGCCAGATCGCGAAGTCTTTGGGCAATCCCGCATACCATGCCTTTGGGACAACCCCGCGGGCCACTGGGGCGCGGGGCCGGGCCGTCGGGACAATCCCGCAGGCCAGGCCGGTTTGGAAAACCCCGCGAGCTTCGAGATGGACGCGGCCGCGCTCAGGCGGGGGGCAGTTCGAAGCTGCGAGCTGCTCCGCTTCGGTTCTGGAGCTCCCCGCTATTTCGATGAACTTCCGCAGCGCGTTCCGCAAGGACGCCGGCGGCCCGCGCTCCAGGAACCTTCGCGTGGGCGGCCGCAAGATCAGCATGCGTTCCGCAGGCACGTGGCGCGGGAGACCATGACGCAGAGGTGCAGCCACCAGCGTTTTTCCGACATACCCGTGCGACCAGCGTCTTCATCCCTGGCGCAGTCGATGGTGACGCCATCGCCGCGTCGGAGGACTCGGGTTCAGCCGAGTGCCCCCTTTTCGCGCAAAAAAAGTGACCCCGTTCGGATTGGCCCGCGATGGCTCGCATCATCCTTCGTTCCTGAGGAGCCCAAGGGTGACGACAGCTACGAGATCTCAGGGACGCCTCACGATTCACGAGTCTAACATGGAGCCGCGGGCTCTACAGCGAGGGGGGTTCAACCCGAGGCTTTCTCATGGCTCGCTCACCGACCAAACTCCCGCCAGGTACATCCTCAAAATTCAAGCGTGGCTGGGGAACCCAAAATTGGCGACAATGTTAAGTTTCGCATGGCCAGTTCGGATTGCCACTACGCAGCGCGGGCCCCATAGGGAAGGGGGCAATTCACGCAATCCACTCACAGATGAGGTTAGCGTTTGAGACCTCTTCGAGATTAAGGCGCGAAGGGCCCAATCATGTCGACAGCGACCCGCACCGATTACCAACATGGACTCCGACCTCTTTAGTGACGGGGTTGTCGCCTGAGACAATTCATGCACGAACGAGACTCCTCCGTGATTTGTTTTGAATTCAGGTGTGAGGGACCCCGAACGACGATTGTTACAGGATTTTGATCACCCGCCCCGATTGCCAACATGAGGTGCGGGTTCCACACGGCCAGGGCTCCCGTCCTAAACGTCGTCGCAATTCAGCACGAACGAGGTTCCCGCCCGAGGTTTCTTCAGAGTTCAGGCGTGAAGGGCTCAAATGTGACGACACGTATTGGATTTGGATGACCCGAACCTATTTCCAGCATGACGTGCGGGCCCCAAAGGGAAAGGGCCCCCCGCTTGAGGTTTCTCCATTTTTCACGCACAGACGAGGCTCCCGCCTTGGACTTCCTCAACATGAGTATATACCCATACGACAACCCTTCGTGTGATAAGAAGGTTGTGGGGGGGAGGAAGAGGGGAACCAACATCGGACTCAATCGATCTGACGATCGATCCCACTCAATGGGACACCACGGGACACCACGGGACACTTGTCGATCTCATTATCGATATCATTATGGATCTCATTCAACGGGTTACCACGGGACACCACGGGACACCGCGTGACACCTCTCGATATCACCACCGATCTCGCGATCGATCTCACGATCGATGTCATTCAAGAGACACCATAAGACACCACAGGGCACACCGGGACACTACATCGATCCAACTCTCGATCTCACGATCGATCGCACGATCGATATCATTCAACGGGATACCGCGGGACACCTCGGGACACCTGTCGATCTCACTCTCGATCTCATTCCCGATCTCACTCAGTGGGACTCCACGGGACACTTCGGGCCACCACATCGATCTCAGTATCGATTTCATTATCGATCTCATTCAACGGGACACCACGGAACACGACAGGACACCTGTCGATCTCTATATCGGTTTCATTATCGATATTACTCAGTGGGACACCGCGGGACCCCCCATCGAACTCATTATCGATCTCACGATTGATCTCACTAAACGGGACACCGCGGGATACCACGGGACACCGGCGGGACACCAGCGGGACACCAGCGGGACACCGGCGGGACACCGGGGGCCACCGGCCGCCAGAAGAGAAACATTTGGTCCGGCCGCGGCCCAGCCAGAGGAGGATTGCGGGACACCATGGACACCGGCGGGACACCGCGGGGCACCGGCCGCCGGAGGAGTGACATTTGGTCCGGCCGCGGCCCAGCCACAGGATAATTTCGGGACACCAGCGAGGCACCGGCGGGGCACCGCGGGGCACTGGCCGCCCGAGGAGTTACATTTGGTCCGGCCGCGGCCCAGCCACAGGAGGATTTCTTCTCGCCCGCCCACGCAGTTTCGCAGGTTGGGGGGTGAGTCCGACGTGAAACGGGGACCCCCCCTAATTACCGAGATGAAATTGATTTCGGTTTCGGGTTCGTGTCGTGCGTGCCGTGCGCGCGTGCACGCGAGGCGAAGCTGCGTGGGCGGGCGAGAGGAAATCCTCCTGTGGCTGGGCCGCGGCCAGACCAAATGTTTCTTCTCCAGCGGCCAGTGGCCCGCGGTGTCCCGCCAGTGTCCCGCTGGTGTCCCGCAATCCTCCTCTGGCTGGGCCGCGGCCGGACTAAATGTTTCTCCTCTGGCGGCCGGTGGCCCGCGGTGTCCCGCCGGTGTCCCGCTGGTGTCCCGCTGGTGTCCCGCTGGTGTCCCGTGGTAATTATCCCGTGGTGTCCCGTTGAGTGAGATCGATCGTGAGATCGATGTGGGGTCCCGAGGTTTCCCTTGGTGTCCCGTGGTGTCCTATGGTGTGCGATCGATAGTGAGACCGATAGTGAGATCGCTCGCTTGCGAGGGGTGCGAGAGATCAATGAGTATTCATTGC